GGGGTGGAGGAAAATCCTCAAGCTTAGGCATATAGCAAAGGGACTTATCCAGCACATCCCAGGTGATGGCACCAATATTTACATTTGGCATGATTATTGGCACCCTTCTAAGCCATTAATTGACGCATATGGCAGTAACATTGTTAGGGATGTAGGAATCCCATTTTAGGCAAAGCTGGCAAGTGTGATTAATGGGAATTTCTGGCGGTGGCCTCCTCCGAGATCTCTTCAATTAGTTCAAGTCTAGATGCACCTCTTTGACATGTTCCCCAAAGAAGGTGAGAAAGACACAGTAATATGGAGACCTTCAAATTCTGGAAATTTCAAGGTTGGGCAGACTTGGAATTGGTTGAGGAAGAAGACTAGGAAGGTGTGGCATAGACTGATATGGTTTTCTCAAGTGATACCTAAACATAGCTTCATTAGTTGGCTAGCTATTCTCAACAAACTAAGCACTAAAGCCCAACAAAGAAAGTGGACTCCCACCATTGTTGACACTTGTTTTCTATGCAATAGTGAGCCAAAGACTAGTGAGTACTTGTTCTTTAAGTGCAGCTACACACAAAAGATCTGGAAAACACTTAGTGCTATGGTAGGCATTCCCCTAACTAATTCATGGCAGAGTTTATTGCATTGGATGGGGAAAAAGGTTAGTAGAAAATCCTTGTAGAATACTCTTGTTAAGTTAGCATGGAATGCAGCAGCGTACCACACATGGAGGAAAAGGAACAGGAGGATCCACCAAAAACATTTCAAAACTGATGGTGAGATTGTCTAAGAAGTTTAGTTTGATGTAAGGTGCAAAATACTAGGATTTGCTTGACCAAAGTCTTCTCCCTTGCCTATGGATATTGCTAAGCATTGGGGGCTAGAAGATGCTGTGAAGGAAAAGATTGGTGCAGTTTTTGCTAGTTTGTTTTGGGAGAATGTATTCTTTGTGGCAGCTAATTTGCTACTTACTGTACAATCAATTGATGGATAATAAATTTCACATTTTATCAAAAAAAAAAAAAGGTGAGATATTATCATGAATATGGGCTGAATAGATTTAGTCAATAAAGAAGTCCTCAAGGAGATCTAGTGTTCTTGATTTAGTGGTTGAGAGCCATACATGAAAAAGAATACTTGGTTAGTTCTGCCCCCAAATCCCACTCACCACCTTATCCCTACCTTAATATGACAATAGACTAAAATATGTAAGAAAAAGGGAGATTTTGCCTCACTTAGATCAAGGAATGGCAATGTCCATTATTATAGTTATTCACTAGGATGATGACAACTTTTGACCATCGAGAAGTAATGCCTAAATAACTTGTCAAATATTTTCTCACTAAGTCAATAAGATCTTATAGGAAATCCATGAGAATATAGAATGCAAGATTTTGAATGACAGTTGTTTTCTCTTTGTTGATTTCTAGAAAGGTGCATTCTGCCTAGCAGCAAAAATTGGAATGTCAGTGATTCCTTTTACCCTAATTGACACAGGAAAAGTCATGCCTGCAGGAATAGAGTGTATCTTGAATTTGGGATCAGTTACGGTTGTTATTCATAAACTAATCAGGGGAAGTGATCCACAAACATTGTGCGATAAAGCTAGAAGAAAAATTGCACTTGCTCTCAATTTCCAATGCTAAGAGATCTACTAAAATGAGTTCTAATTTATGGCTGACTACTGAAACTCCTTAGTGCAGATTGAAAGAGTATAATTGAAAGGTATGCATCAATTGTTTTCGTTGTTAATGGAAAGAGATATTATACTTCGTATGGTTGTGAGGATTTAGTTTTTCTGGCACATACCACTTGTAACCAAAACCGAAGCAAATATTTGAATGCTAATTTTGCTCTTTGATGTAGGTTTTTATATCATTGAAGCAATACTATCAGTCTCATCTCATTCATAGTGGGTGAATTTTGCCCATTCTTGAAAGCAACAAGTTGGCTTAGTATATCAGATGTGTTGCATATTCATGTAATAATCCATTGAGGCTAGACTACACATATCAAGATGTCAACAAAAAAACTTCATGTGCTTGATAACGGTGTGGTTTTGGATTTTTTTCTCTAACAATACTCGTATTCACCAACGACCTAAGTAACTTAGATTATCTTTTTTCGTTGAAAATAAGAGATTTTAAATTCGAGTCGCATGACATGCGGATGAAGTGGAATAAAAGATAAGAAATAATTGCCTCTCATTATGCAACCAAGATATATATATATATATATATATAAATAGTACCTGTATTCACATTAGGTAGTACTATAGAATTTTTCCTTTGGAATTTTTTAGGCAAAAAGAAGAAAGAACTGTTGGAATTTTGGGGATGGGGGGTTGAGTTTCAAACCTCTCACACATAAGCTGACCAAATGGGCATCGAATGGTTCTTGAGAGGCACTACATCCATATTTTTTGATGTTTCCTTATTTTTTTTCTGTTATGTATATGTTTACACCATAAATTGCAAAATTTTAAATTAATGCCACGTATAAAATATTTTTTATTAGTTGAAGGAGTTTAAGCCATGTCAGATTCGAATTCTGGGCCCTATGACAAATCAGCACTTGTATTGGCAAAATAGGAGAGGTAAAGATAATTTTTTATGGAGTAATTATTTTCTTGAGACAGAAAGGGACAATGGCAACTAAAAAATAGGAGAAGATTGCAGTTAAAAAGGGGGTTTAATCTGATAAGAGTACAAGTGGCGAAATCTGCAAGGAGATTAGACCAAGTCAAAAGGTAAGGTGTCCCACTACTTCAAAAAATCACTCATGATTGAGTAACTGCAGAAAGTGAAAGTTACTGCCCGCACAAGGAGAACAAAAAGGAAATTTTGGAAGGGAGAACGGACGGCCAGCCCTACTCAAACAACTGCAAGTTTTCAGACTTTTATTTTCTCTTCAATCTGCTTCCAAATTTCGAATTTCAGCACAAATTCCATTAGAATTAAGTTGTTTTTCATCATTCCAATAGGCAAATTAATTCATGTATTCAGTTCAACAATTTCCTTTCATGCAATGAACTTCAATCTTTCAAGTTTATGCAAGGTATTGTTTTCTTTCCGTTTGCAATTAATTTAATGTTTATGATAAGTAGCATTTTATTCAATGATTACTTGTGTGGCCTTCATGCTTATTTCCAACTTCAAGCTCTTTAATTTATTCACTGTTCACGTTAATTTTAATGTTAATTAGGATGAAGTCTTTAATTCTGCAGCATTTTAATTTCCCAATCTGCCAATACATAGCATTTTAATTTAACAATGAACACGTTTAGTTTAATTTGGGTATAGCTTTTTCTCGTAAATTTACTTTAAATTGCAGGTTATTTAGTTCAATTTGGATTTGTTAATTTTAAGTCAAGGTAGTGTTTAAGTCATTGTAGTGTTTAAGTCATTGGAGTTATCCAAGGTAGATTTCGTAACCCATTCTGCAGGAAGGTATCCCTCCCTCTTGCAAATCGTCTAAAAGCGCAAATTTCATTTTAATCCAACGTTCTTCTTGCCATCTGCAAAGAGGTCGATTGTGAAGAAAAAGAGGGTCGTTGGGAAAGTCCTTTTTTCTTACTTTCAGCAAAGTAAATGACACGCCCACATCCAGATTTCACACGTGCGATGCCACTAGAGGATTTTTGAGGAAATAGTATAGGAATTAGAAAAACAATAAAAAATGTAAAATAAAATTTGAAGCTGGTTAGTTCAACTTTCAGAGAAGTTAAACAAAACCCGTCAAACCCTCTACCAGAATTGGCTTCAGCACCTTTGATCTGGTTGTCTTTGCACCTGATGCTGGGGTATAAAAAAAATTCAGTTAAAACTTTATTTTGATTCTCCTATTTTAATCTTTTTATTTTAAAAAAATCTTTTTTAATTTTTAAAATTTAAATTTTGATATTTTTTAGTCTTTTTTATTTTTTTTATATACGTGACATATAATAATAAAAATTTTAAAATAGAAAAAAAAAAACTAAAAATAATCCATTTTAATCCTTTCACTTTAAATAACAGTTCCTCTTTGCTCCCTCTACTTGAAATAAAACCTTTTTTTAGCCTCTCTATTTTTTAGATTTTTGTTAAAATAACCTGTTGTGAGAAAAAAATAATTGAGGAATTAAAAGGGTTAGATTTTAAATTTAGAGTTCAAAAGGGATTTTTAAGGATTAAAAAGAAATTTTTTATTAAAATAGAGAGATTAAAAAAATATTTTAACAAAAAAATTCCAATCGCAATGTTGACCAAGTGGATTAATTTTTTTTGTAGGCGTAAATGAAATATCGACCTAAATTTAAGGGTCATTGTAATTTATCCTAAATTTATGAAACTTCATAAAAGTGTACGCGTTTTCTGATACAAAAGTCTGCACGTTTTTTAATTAAAAAGGAAAAAAAAAATCAAATATTAAGTAATTTAACGATAATTTTTTTGCTACTGAATGAAGTGAGATAAAATATAAAAGAAATTACTTTCGTGAAACTAAAATAAACAAAAAAAAAAAAAAGTCTACACGTTTTTGTTTTTCACTAAATTGTAAAATATGTATGGAGAATGGTACGGAAAATAGTATAGATCTTTCTCACATCTTTTATTAATTGAAAAATTATTTTAAAATTATATTATGTTAATAATTTTTTATTAAAAAATCTAAATATTTTATTTTAAAATATAAATTAAAGTATTTTTAATTTTTTATTATTAATGATTTATTAAAAAATGTAATTTTAAAATAAATTTTTCTTAAAATTTTTTTAAAAAGTGAATAAACATTAATTATATATAAATAAATAATATTTATATGTAAATAATATTTATATATAAATTTTATATATTATATTTACATAAAATTTTAATTATTTTTATTTTTAATAATTAAAATCTAAAAATAAAAAATTTGAGTCCTCCCTCCTTATCTCTTTCATCACTTATTTTTTTTCAATCTCTCTTTTATTTGGTGCTTCTTTCCTATCCCTTTCATCATTCATTTTTTTTTCTTATCTCTTTCTTAGTTGACTTGCTTACGAGTCTAGGGTTCTACTTAAGATTTATTATCATATTTCTTGCACCTATTTTTGATCACCCAAACAACTTCAATATCAAAGAGTTGTGGAGTCCCATTTTATCTTTTAATGTCCCATCAAAATTGAATGCTTTATATCTCTTTCAATCTCTCTCTTAATTGATGCATTATTTTAGTTATTATAATTTTTTACCCATCTTATTTCTCCAATTTTACTATAAAAATTTCTTTTTTAGCTCCTCACTTTTGTCTCATTAATCACTTTTTATTAATTTAGTTAAATTTT